CGCCCACAGCGCCCAGCATATGGAACGAGACCCTCCTCCCCCCCACACACACACATCCCCCGGCCCCGCCCCACACCTTCCTTTTCCTTTCTCCTCTCATCCATTACTTTGCTCTTTTTCTCCCATTTCAGCCCTAATAGACTGCAGTCCCACACATGCCCCGGACATGCGCTCACGCAGACGGGGATGTGCGGAAGGAATTGGCGCAGTAATTACGCCGAGGCAACATGCACACGCGCACGTGCACGCGCGCCAGCACGCGTCGCGCACGGGGAGCACATCTCAACCTGCTGCTCAGTCAGCACCGGTCCTCCAGTCTGGGCATTGTCAAATAGAAAAGTGATACAAGAGAAAGACATCAAATGAATGGGAGAGTGGGGAAAACAAAGCGCACCAGGGGGGGTAAAAGCAGATGGAGAGTGAATGGAAATGAACAGGTAACGAATACGGGCACCAGACAAACTCGGGACAAAACTCGGGGGCAATAAAAGGTGTCAGTGACAGATAATGAGTGAGGGGTGGAAGAGTGAAAGGGGGAAGAGTCAGCCAGTGAGAGGCGAGCTCGTTTGCGCACAAAAAGGTATATAGGAGCGTCTCTGTGCGCGCGTGTGGAACAGATAGATGCCAAAAGGGAGGGGAGGGGAGGAGAGAGCGGGAGAGGGAGGGAGGGGCTTTGGAGAGGGAGGAGGGAGAGAAAAGGAAGCAAGTGCGTGAGATATTGTGAGGCAGTCCGGCCGGAGAACAGCATCAGCAGCAGCGGAAACAGCGGAGAGAACATCTCCAGCAGGACGGGACGCACACGCACGGAGCAAAACCCGGAGCAGCCAGGAAAAACAAGGGAATACCTGCTGAGGAGGAGGAAGCAGCAAACAAAGGGGGAAAGGACGGAATAAAAACAAAAAAAAAAGAATTTGACTGCCTCTCCAAGCGCTTCACACTTCTGTTTGGAGCATCCCACAAGCAGAGCACCAGTGAAAACACATACATATGATATATATATAAAACTCCTATACATATATATCAAATTATGCCTGTTTTCAAAGAAGCTGCAGCCGGACAAGGACTGAATTGACAGCACAAAACACCCCAAAAAATTGGAGATGATATGCAACATTTGCTTAAAAGCTGTTGCATATTAATTACTTGAGATTGTTTACGCTCTCTCTTTTTTTTTTCTCAGTGAGGCAAAAAAAAAACAGAAATGATGGCATCGGAAAAAACGGTAAATCTGGCATCTGAGTAGTTATTCCAACATCATGACCACGGAGCTTCTGCTCCTTGCAGTCCTGTAATTCCAGAGAGGCTTCTTTTGAAAGCAGGATATTTTTTTTTTTATCTGCCCTCGGTGCCACATTGGCGTTTGGCTGTCGCATCTCCACTTGTCTCTGTCGTCCGTGAGGGCTGGGTCTGCTATTATTTTGCAGCGTGGCTTGTGCCAGTGCGTGGCTGAAAGTGCAGAGGGCAAGTCCACGGGCTCCCTGACCCCCACGCTGAGATTTCCTCAGCGACGGCAAAAGTCCCCTCTGGGTCTGAGAGGGAAGGGGGTGAGGTAAGTTTCGGAAGAGAGAGACAGAAAAAAAAGGCAAAAATGTCAACAAAGAAATGATGGAGGGGAGACGAGATAAACGCGTACGCTGTCAAATACAAAAATGACATAAGGACGCCATCAGATCTCGTCCATTCTCAGCAAACAATTCCAGCACCTTTTTTATCAGCCCTACAGCTTCTATTGGATGTTGGGCTGAAGAAGATCTGAGTCGTTAAGATCGTAGATTCAGAGTCACAACAACAGCCGTTCCCTCTCTCTCTCTGTTTTCCCTTCTCCTCTTCTCCTCCTTTGCCTGGAAAAAAAAAATAGCAGGGCAGAACTGAGCAAGCTCACAGAGTGCCCAACTGGTGTCCTGGGTCTGTCAGAGACCCGTGGATCAGAGGAGAGGAGGCGTTTTTAGTGGAGCGCAAACGGGAGCCAAAGCAACAGGAGCCCCGCGCATTCCGAGCACAAAAAAAAGCCCCTGGACCGATGCATGCCTCCTAAAAACGTTGATGCTTAGTGTTCAGCTGTGAATGTATGTCTGCCAGAGAAAATGCGCGTGGATGTGTGAGAGAGAGCAAGCATCAGGTGCAAGAGGGACGATTTTTTTGGACTGTATTGACCAAAGGATTTCAGCCTGACCGGAACCTGGAGTCTACAGAGATCTAACAGCTCTTGTCATCTGTTGGGTGCCTTGGTATATTGAAAGGAGCTTTTTTTTCCTTTGTTTTTTTCTTTTTTTTTTTGGCTGCAAATTTTTAATTACAGAACACACTAGAGACACCAGTGGCTGAAAGACTTGAGGATTCACTTCCCAAAGTTCTTCACGTCCCGACCTCAGGGCCAGGGGAAAAGATGCCCACTGCAAAAATAAAAAAGCTTTTGTTTGACAGTGACTTTAAAAGCAGCAGGAAGATAGATGCAAGTTAAGATCTGAGAGGGTGAATTCGAAGGAAACACTTTTTGCTCTGTGTTTTTCCCCCCCTCCCACTAGAATTCAGAGCTGATTTGACACTTTTGTTGAATTGTTTCCCACTGGGGGAATGCCTTTTACTGCTGGACTGAAGATCTTTCAAGTGGGAGCCTTCACCCCCTGTAAGTAATCAGCAATCAGATTTCTTCCCGCTCCGGCAGCCCTGAGATCTCACTTCATGGATTATTCATATGCCGAGCGGGAGAGCTGGTAGCCGGACATGCCAGAGGAAAGTTCATTCATAGGTAATACGTCCTCGTAAACTGGACACCTGGACTCGGATTTGCCTACAACCGCCTCTGTCGTCCGCTGACCACTTCTGGGATTGTGAAAAGGTGACATTTCCTGAATTCTGGACTTTGCTATGATACAAAAACACACTGACACATATATAGTAACCTTGTGTCTGCACACTGGACTTCCTGTCTGCCAGGGACGGGTTCACTCTTGTTAGCAGCACATTGAGATTTGATTTCTTTCTCTCATTTAGCCTCTTCTTTGATGAAACTTTAACACCCAGTTAACCGTGAGCATTAATAACTCCCACTATAGCAACTGAGTGCACTTTGATGTTTCAAGTATAAATTATACATACGTGCTTCTAATTTAAATCTGTTCTCTGCTGTCGGTGATATGGAGGCTGAGAGTTTCAGTCAGTGACAAGACGGATAAGTAACGCTGTAACTTTGTGCCGTTTTGTTTGTTGTGTTTCTATTGCAGAAGCTTTTGGGGTCCTTTATAAACTGTTACTGAGACGCTGCAAGAAATTGGAAAAAAAAGTCCAACATGGCCTCCTCGATGTATCCACTCCTGATGAGTTTCTCGTTAGCCATTTTCCTGGGCTTGACCTCCCTGAGCGGACTGAACTCTCGGCCGTCGGGTCAAGCTTTGGCCCAGGTTCCCTCCAACAACGAAACCACGGAGCCCTCGGTGTTACCGGAGGCGTCCCTGCCGTCGCCCACGCCGCGGTCGGGGGAGCAGACGGACTCGGCGGCCGGGAACCGCTGCTGGGGCTACTACGACGTGATGGGCCAGTGGGACCCGCCCTTCAACTGCAACGCGGGCATCTACATGTTCTGCTGCGGCTCCTGCTTCTACCGCTTCTGCTGCCAGTTCAAGATCCACAGCCTGGACCAGACCTCCTGCTCCAACTACGACACGCCCGTGTGGGCCAACACCGGGAAACCCGCGGCGCCCGTCACGGAGGTCCAGGAGGAGCCCGACCGAGACCGAACCCACATGATCGTTTACATTATCTGCGGCGTGGTGGCCATCATGGTGCTGGTGGGGATTTTCACAAAGCTCGGACTGGAGAAGAGTCAGGGAGGACAGACGGATATGACTAACTCCAGGTAGGAACTGAGAAATGGATGAATGGAAGGATGGATGGACCTCAGGTTGTGGAATTAGCACATTTTAACATCCCCTCTTTCATTCTTACGCTTGTTTTGTTGAAGGGTGAGATGAGACGTCATGACGTAAGAACACGTATGTGGACACAATGTTGATATAGATGAACGGAAACTTAAGCTTGAGTCTCCTACGAACAGATTTGACTTTACTGGAATATTTTGCTCTTCTTCCATTCTTGCTGTGGGGCTAAGACAACCACGTACTTGCTCCTGCCATGTATCTTACAGTACCTTTACAGGATGCTTTGGTGGGAGGATCTTCTCTGGTTTCACAAAAAAATGTGCAAACCGAGCGCATTATACAGTTCGAATTGCCTTAAAAATCTGTCCTATTTTTTCTGACCACGTGTTTACTCATATCCCATGTCAGCTCATTAATCACATCTTTTCTGATAAAGACTTTCTCTGTTCCAGCAAACTAATTCAGAATCAGATCAGGCAGCGTGATCAACGATAAACAGAACTAACCCCGGCCAAACAGCAACCCCAACTGCTAATGAAAGTTTTAAAAAAAGAGTTGGACAACTGACCTTCACCTTGATGAGGTCCTTATGATACATAAATCTGAACAACAACATTAAGTTATCTAATACTATAATGCAAAACACTTGAAAACTGTAATCCATGAAGTCGAGCAGCCTCAGTAAACCCTCGTATCCCTCTTTTAATTTGTCATCCAGAATGTCGTTGTTTGAAAATGTTGTCAGCCGGTAATGAATAAAGCAGCCGAGTTGCTCTGGGATGATAAAGGGTGTGAAGTTAGTTTGAATTCATGCAGGAGCAATGACGAGCAATGTGCAGGCGGCCTGAGAGGAGGCGGCAGAGTAAGAAAGACGAGAGAAACCGAGACTGATAGGCACAGATGTGAAAGATGTGGAGTGGTGGTGCGGGAGCAGTTTTTTGGGGGGAAATCACAGCACAGCATGGCCGTCTTTTATGAGTATTAGTGTAGCAGTTTCCCATTGACGTGTGATTGATTGCTGTGACACAGCTATGACTGTGGCAATGAGTGGCCTTCAGAGAACAATGAGAAGAGTGAGGGCAGTTTTTTGGGTGGGATATTGAGCGGATCTGACTGGAAAGCAGCCAACGGCTAGTACAAAGAGCAGGGGTGTGGGTTTGTTTGTTTGTCTGTGTGTGTGTGAGAGGACGAGACACTCTGCGTGCGGGGTGTGACCAGCCAGCCTGTTGGGTGTCAGGAGCTGGCACACGGGGGCCTCCTTTAAAAACCTATCAATGACTGGTTGTCGGTTTACTTCCCAGAATTGAAAGAGGATTAGCCGGAGATAGCAGTGTGCTCCTAACTACGCCCAGTCACCAAACGCATGAGGAAAGCTGGCATTTCTTGATGTATTTCGTCCCAGGAGAGCAGACAAATATGGGAATTTTAACACCGGAGTCAAAGGGTTGGTTGAGAAATTGTTTTTGGAAAACTGTATGTTTGTCCAGTCCTCGCATAGTGTGAAAGGTTACAGCTGAAACATGGACAAATACACCACTTAGATGTTAGAACTGTTTCAGTAACCCCATCCTAAACGACTTTGTCCAAACTCTTTTACTTTTCCCGCCGGTCAGTTGTTGTTGGTTAGGTTTAGGCATTGGCGCCTCTGTGACTCTCCTGCTGTCGGCAGCAGGATTTAGCATGTGTGCTTCTCATTACTGGAACTCCTAGATTGTTAGTTAGCATCAGAAAATGTAACAACTTAAAAAAGCAGAGGAATGGTGCTGAATGCCCCTGCTCGTCTTCACAATGTAATTTAAGACCTCTAACATGGCTGTCCAATCACTGATAAAAGTAATGCACATCAGTTTTTCCAAGGATGTTTTACGGTGGCTGGACATTTTCCATAAGATTCCAAAATTCCATAAGATTCCACTCACTAAAGTAATGGTGGTTAGGTTTAGGTTAGGTGTGTGTGTGTAACTTGGTCAACAACAGGGAGACAATGTGATTAAAAATGAATAACGTCTAATGAACGCAAACAAAATAGCAGCTTCTTGTTTTGGTGCACAACAAATGCACCCATTGCTTAGTCCGAGGCATGTCTTTTACTTTTTCGTTTAAATTGGAGATACAGGGTCTGAGAGAGAGAGGTAGAGAGAGAAAGAGAGAGAGAGAGAATACCACAAGGAAAGACTGATAACATAAATGTTAGGCATACAAAGAAAGACAGAGGGAACTCGGGGTCGGAATTAAGTGACTCTGGGGACTGGCTTATTTTACAACCCAGTTGCCAACCACATCTGTTTCCTTCATATCTGCCAATGTGTGCGTGAGAGACAGAGAGAGAGAGAAGAGCCAGGAAAAGAAGACAGAGACAATGACAAAAGAACTAACCACTGTACTGATGTGAAACGGTCTACTGGAGCGTGAAAAATGGGATAGAGGGGCAAAATGAGAAAATCATTCGAGATAGTTGGAGGTTACAAAGAGGTTGGGAGGTTGGAAGCTAAGCTGTTGTAATTCAGATGATTTGCCACTGAGAGATGTGATGGCGCGTTTACTTTTATCTTAACACAACTCCATCTAATGGTGCCGGGAAATGACTAAAAACCATCACAGTGGGCAGTTTCCTTAGGCCTATAAAAAGTATTGTCCGTGCCCACGTTTCAACAGTTTCCTCTGTCCATCTGCATACCTGTGACAAAAAGCCACCGTCACCCATAGATGTGAGGTTAAGCGTAACCCAGCGTGCTCATGCACACATCCGTTTAAAAAAAGCCACAGAGGTATGGAGGTGGTAATATGCTAAAACCTTGGGTCAGGCAATCACAACAGGCAGCGGTGCAATGATTTATAAAGCAAAACCACGCACGTGAGCGAGTGCATGCACACACACTGCACACGTCTCCTCCATTCCATAGTTTCTCACCTTCAAAGAGACTGTATTTAGCTATCATCTTGTTAGTTGATGCATCTCTGTGTGTACAGACCGCTGAAAAGCAGTCATTAAACCCTCTCAATGGGAATTAAAATGCTAAATGAAGTTTTTTATTCATTTATTTATTCATTTTAATCAAAGACAGCTCCGCTCATTGTACAGTATTAAAGACTATAGCTCTTTGAAGGTGTGTGTTTGTGGGGGGGGGGGGGGTGGTGAGGTTAATATTTCACTTGTACAATGAAGTTATTAATTTCATATTAATAAAAAAAAAAGGTTTTAGCATCATAAATGTAAACAGACACATGTAAATGCTGTTGTGCTTCACAAGGAACATAATTTGACCAAAGCTCATCTCACAGCCAAAATTCAAAAGTAGTGTTTGGTGGTCCTGTTGCATTTTTGACCTCAAAACCTTCGTCTTATTCAGTTACAATTCATTCCTAAACGAGCGCATAAATACAGTGTGTGAATAATAATATTTTCTGCACACATTCATTCACAGAACTTCTTCCCAGACTCTCATTCCCTCCACCAGCACCGTAAAGAGTATCAATAATTATTCCCTTTTAAGAGCCGTGCCTTCAAGGGCACAGGCGATTGAATGACCCACTGGGGAGGTAAACAAGCATTTCCGACAGCCTATTTCTATTCCTTAACTGGATTGTATTTCATCAGCAATGCTTTCTATTTCCTCTATTGTCGGTTCATGTCGGGCTTTTTATCAGCACCTGGGAAAGCTGTTTGGGAATGAGAAGTAAATATTCCTAATTATTTTCGATGGACTTTTTTTTTTTTTCAAAAGAGTGCGATTTTAGGTCTTTTACAACTGGGACTGCTCATGTAAAGCCAACAATCAAAGTATCGGAAGACGAGGATTACCTGGCAGATCAAGTGATTCCTCCAACTGACCTCATTACAGATGTAATGCGTGTCTTCAGGCTGGCTGCTCACGTTAAAACTTTTTGCTCTCCTCGAGTTCCATTAGCAAAAGCCTGTGTGGTTTGGATAAAAACAGCCACACTCAAAGCCCATTACAGTGACTTTTCTCTCTCGGTGCTGGGTTTTGAATGCAAATACATTCTCGGATGCTGCAGCACGCAAAAAAAATCTGCTTTGGCCCAGATAGCTGAAATCAACAAGAAATTTTTGTTTATGCCATCTACCAAACTTCTCTGGCTGCGTGGAAGGAGGGGTCATGATGATAAGTTTTCCATTGAGCCTTTTTTAGTGTCAGTGCAATTCACTACTACCTTTGCGTTCATGGTGGTTAAATATCTGCTTTTTCCAGAACAATACAAGGCCAAAGCACTCCTCGAAAGCAATTAAAACACACATCTTCAGCACTAAAACACACGACGTTAACTGCCTGCTTCACACACCAGCCTAAGAATTTACTTTTAAGCAATTTACTTGTTGAGATGCTCCCATCCAAATAATTGGTTTCAAATATTCGGGGAAGCTCAGCTGTGGAGAACAACTCCCGAAGCCCCTGAAGGTTTTAGTGGGATAACGAATGGGCCTTTAACTTTGAAAGAATAACTGTGCTTTACACAATCCTTCTTTTCCTTTACACTCGTGCTTTTTTTTCCGGAGGTGAGGGTTCTTTGTGCAGGCGGTGGCAGCTGTATGGCCCTGTGCTGCGATTGGAAATCCACACCACAAGTCAGTGCAGCAGAGCTCAGTGAGACAGTTTACCGCAGAGCCGCAAAGTTTCTCATCTCTCTTCAACTGTTGCTGCACTGAATCATCACCATATAAACCCATGACCCTCTCTTTTCTCTGAATCCACACCAGATATAGGGTTTTCTTTGCTCTCAGTTCAGAAAACATAACTGCATCTCTAAGGATATTCAAATGGAAAATGAATTTAATCACAAAAATGACACTCGCAAAACACCACAATTACGGATTATAGGAGTTTTGTTATTTTTACACTTTTGGTAAAATGACAAAGTTTGCTTTATGGCCGTTAAGACATGCGGCTACAGGACAAAAGCAGCTTTTTCAACATGCGTACTCTCCATCCATAGCACTCAGGTTCTAAGGGAATATAGAGAGTCACCTGACTCCACTTCACTACAAGTTCGAGGTTTTTCAGTTGGAAGTCATTTCAAATAAACAGATACATCCATTGCATCACAGAAAAGAGAGCTTACCGTAAAACTCGCCATTTGAAATGGCATTTATACTGAATATAAACCACTACATGACATGGTTCAACTGTTGCTGATCTGCTAAGCATGACTAAATAGAAACAAGAATCAATTCAAATATCACATTAATTCTATTCTTATTTCATTTTCCCATCTTTCTGCTCTCCTCTCTATATTTTCGTGCAGTCAAATGAATAAAATATGTGCCAAGAATTAGGCTTAAAAAATATGCAAGGCAGATGGTCAGGTTGAAAGGAAATTATATGAAAATTTGCAGTACTTATACAAGTCCATGGGGCACATTATATATGTCATCAAAGTATTGGTATTTGATGGAACAGTTTCAAGCTTTTCAGGAAATACACCAGCAACATTGATTATCTTCTATTGCCAAACAGAAGAGTATGTCAGTGCTGAGAGAATAGGCGGATTAGATTTGAGGGGGCACTCTTTTCTCCTCTTTGTTGCCCTACTTCTCTTACTCAGATTTTTTTTCTATTCAAATGAGTTCGCCCAAATGACCAGATATTCAAAACATGTTCAGCATAAGACAAGTCACTTAAATGCAACAGTTCCCTCCGCGTCTGAAGATGAGACAATACAGTTAAATGGAGCGTGATTCTCACATAATGATAGGTTTATTTTTGAGCGTGGCTGTGGGCTGTTAACAACGATCTGTGTCATTTTTGACTTTGTAATTTGGAAGCTCTGTAGGAGTTCCTCTGTGGGAGGTACAATTGCGAAAGCAAGTGAACATATTCCAGTCTAAGTACACTCAAAGAGTACTTTGCAAACTCCTTAAGAGTGAGCATACTCCAATGGGCTTGTGTGTTTGTAAGATTCTTGTCAATATGAGTGAAAGTTTGCATGCGGGTGTCTGTGGACTTTGGGAACATGACGTCCAACATGGGCTCCGTTTTCACTCCAGTGATCCAGCTAATGGTCTTGTCCAAGTGTAGACTGACACTGGTTTCAATTCAACCTGACAGAAAATCAACTGCTCGCATGAAACTGTGTGCTGAAGCGCACAGCGGCAAGCGCTCTATCTGGTCATTGTTTGTCCCTAAATTTTGTTCATTACTTTTAAAAGTCCTAATTTCTTTGCAATCTGCCCTTTTTTAAATCCTTAATCCTTTCCAAAAATTATTATTGAGAAATAATTGTTATATTTATTGTTATCAACAAAATCTCTAAAATGTTGACTAGAAAGTATATGTCATTATAACTCAAGAATAAAACATTTACAATAATATGTGCATCAGGTATAAGAGTGGACTGTTAGACCTCTTATTTCATCCAATCAAAATATCCTTAAAAAAAAAATTTAGTCCAATAATAATCAAGTATAATCAACTGTAAATTAAATTAATTGCAGTCCGTGTTCATACAATTAAGACATTTCTGCATTTTAAGTAAACCAACTGATCAAACTGAAAATTGGCTGCACGCCCTATCATGTGACCCCAGCACCCAGAGCAAAAAAACAGTTATGCAAAATGTGACAACCACGTTTGAGAAATACAGAATCAGAATGTCCGGAAAATGTATAGAGTCGGTGATCCAGTGGAAGAGGCAAATTCATTTAAGAGGTGAAATTAATTCTGGAAAAATGAAAGCAGGACAAAGATGATAAATTCAGTTTGAAATGAGTGATGAAGAACAATGGTTTGGTCTCTCCTCGACAGATAATTGGGATGCTTGGTTACCCAGTTGTTAGAGAGGATATTTGCAAAGTTTTCAGATGATTTCACAGCAACTTCTCAGAAAGGGTCTTGAATTTCAGTCATTAAAACTCAGTTCAGTAAAGGTCAGTGTTGAGCAGCGTGACCTGTGCTGTAACTAATGATGAACAACATTTCTCCATTGTTGTAGACCATTACACATCAGCGGGAATGCAGTTTAATATGTTCCTACTTTTTTAAACTGAGATTTCTAACACCATCGCATCTGATGTCTTATCTTGCAGAGGTGCTACTACCATCAGCAGGAAAAACAAACCAATTAATATGAAAACTTTAGACCACTATACAGTGTGACTGAATATTGTTCTGGTGGAAAACTTGCTGTTATACTGTTTTTTCTCTTAGTCGTTCCAAAGAATCTGCAAAGTGTAAGAAGGAACCACAAGTTTACAGCAACAACCGTTTAAAGATCTGAAATCATGACCGTATGCCATAAAATGAGACAAAATGGTGATTTGTCACGGTTTAGTTTTACTCCTATTGGCCATTTACTCCTTTCATTTCAACTCAAGAAAGACTGGAACCGGTTGAGAAAACTTTAGGGAAGCACGCTTTTAAGCTCTTCCTCTATACACGTTTACGCACTTATCTTTGACTCCAGTCGTGTACGTTTCTTTGCAGCAACCTTTCCACAGACAGGGGAGGACAAAAAAATAACCCAAAAGCCATGCAGGTCTTCTCCGTTTTAGACTCCCTCTGTTGGACTGGTCACCTTGGTTCAGACGGCTGCTTTAAATCCGCAGAGTGACTTAAAAGTTTTTGCTTCCCACAAAGCTCAGGTGGGCAACCCCTCTGAAGCGATCCTACTCTGACTCCTGTCTCACATGGACACACCTCGCTGGCTGCTCTCTGCGATAACTGTGTTGCACTTTTCATCACCGCTGTCATCTTTGCATCACTAATGCTGATGAAGGGCAACAGGGAAAGGAGCTCTTACAACAGCTCCTACACCACAACCGCAACACAACAATCTGCTTTCACCTTGAAAGTAATCAGCCGCTACGCCGTTTTGCATGTCGTTTTTATTCCCTTTCTTACTCTTCCTCATTTCCTTCCCGACTCAGACGTCACCGCTCTTTCCCCTCAAACAACGTCACATCTATGGGAAAGCTAAAATAGATGCAGATCAGACGAGAGACAGAGCTCCGTCCCCCGTGCCTTTAGATCCACCGTCCACTCATTTACTGCCATCCACACCCGTCCTTTCCCTTTATTGTGCAAATACTAATTACCCGTCCCCAGCCATTGTGCAGCTTCAGCATTGTGCGAGGAGATGGAAAGATCAAACAAAAGGGGCGAGATGATTTCAGAGGCGAAGCCAGGAGGAGCAGAATGGTGCCGCGATGGGGAATTCACATCATGACTTTCATCCTTTCCCGCCAACATGTTCATCTTCTGTTTGCTTTTCATATTCCTACGCTCCTGCTCGTGCATTCCCTGTTGGCCTTTCACAGTCTCTATATGTTCCTTTTCCCTCTTGAGCTTCTCATTCTGGTAAATTGTTCTTTGACAAAGCCCCGTCTCTGTTGCAGTCTTTTTGTGGTAGTAATAGCGTGCACAGATTTTAATTTTCTACCATCAGAGAAAGGATATTTTACTATGCAACTCATGCTAATTAAGATTAAATCCTTAAGAAAGCACACAATGAGCATTTTGGGGGTCCTCTTCTGCTTTTCAGAGTGTTTCATGGCCTTCCCTGACATGTAAAGGTCTGGAAAGTGAAAAAGTCTGGATCAAAAGCATTTCAAGCCTTCCACAGAAACCGGCCCCTGGCTTCTCCTCCTTTTCTACATCCACATGCAGGGCATTTGCATAATACCTGCCTTGTGGGTAGCTTGGCATGCCTCAAGCAAATTATATGCAGCGGCCTCACAATCCCCTATTTTTGACTGATCAGAGCAGACCGGGCTTATTACAGGAGGCCTGAAAGAGACAGGATTGTTTCAGACAGAAGGTGAAAAATGGTGCTGCGAAACAATGCACTGCAGAGTATTAGAATTAGAGAAATATGTTAATGAGCATTACACTTAATAGGCTCTTTAGCATTTACTGTCATGCTTTGCTTTAAAAGGCAGGAGAAATGTGCCCTTATTACCGCGTTGCTCACTTACTCTCGCTGTAATGTAATGATGGGACTAGTCTCAATTTAGAAACCACACTTTAAATAAATCAGATATTCGCTTTTCTTTTTTCATTTTTTTCACACAGAGCATAACCACAAACCGAGTAAACAAATTTTGGTGCCCAGAGCACGAGCGCGCAGGTATGCCGGCGCACATTAACACACATAAACATGTTGTGACAGGCCGAAGAGTCCAGTGCCTGTTCTGATTTAGAACAATCTCCCCAGTAGCTTTTAACCTTTAGGTGGAAAACCTGGTCATCCATCTGACTCTCATTGCAGGTGAAAGACAGTAAAGGAGACAGAGCGCTCTTTTACAGGGGAGAAATTCTCCCATTTTCAAATTGGTGTGCGCTTGTGGATCAGTGCCGCAGTCATCCTGTTAAGGTTTCCCTTCCCCTTAATATAAAAAAAACTGTATCTTTCTTTTAAGTGTGAATCATAATAATGCAGTTATGCTGATGTGAAATGCTAGAATTGATGGAAAATATAAATAAAACTCTTAATGGTCAACTCAGTCATCCACATAAAATAAAAATTGATCTATTTGGTAAGGATTTGTTGTCAGTATTAGTATAATGTGTGTGTACGTTTGATTAGATCACTCTCTTTTCCTCCCTGTTCTCAATGCTTACCCTGTTCCCCAGCAGCTAATTGGGGGTTTCACTTTGTATGTTGGTTGTGTAACATGTGATTGATGATCCTGCAGGGGTTCAGGCTTGCAGTCGATACCGCCACTAGATCATTTTGTCTTCTGCGCAACTCCATTTCACAGCCTTAACGTCCTCCCTTAAGCACAAAAATATCCACACATGATCATATTAATATAATCAAGCAACTACTGGCAGCTATGGTCATTTGCGTGGTGGCTTTATTTATATTAAGACGTTTTTTTTTTTGTCTGACAAAAGGAGGCTACTCTTCAAGGAACTTCGAGGGAATTGTAACCCAACACACTTCACCTTTTCCCTGTCAGGCTCCCTCGCTTTAGCGTAGACACAAGTACGTTCTGCTTCCTCTGTCGCATTTGCAGGAAGCAGGAAGATGAAGAACAAAACATTATTTATTAAACCCCCGGAACCAAACTAAAAGCCCCGCTGTTGTACGGAGCTCTATGATCCACAAAACACAAAGCAAGAAAAAAACAGGACAAGTGGCATAAAAGCAAACTCATGACCTCCAATCTAACCCACTTTTGGAGCCATTTAGATTCCAAGATAGCAGATCGACATGTAAATGATAATTTCCAGACCAATAAAGGCTATTGGAACATAAAAAATATAGAAGGGGGTTCTTGAAAGATAAACGTCTATGTTTGACTTTCACTTAGCATCTAATGGTCATGTTTATTTGGCCAAAAGAACATGGACTAAATAGATCAAGCTGATTTTTAAAAGTTTGGAAGCAATGCTAGTTATTTTTAACCAATCAAAAGGATTAATGGATCATTAAAATGTGGTGCACAGTGTATTAACCTCACTGCATTAGAACTGTCATGGTCATTTTACAATCTCTTAGAATTTGTTTTACCAAATGACAACTCAGCCCTTTTCATTCAGCATTTTTTAGCCTTGTTGAAAGAAAGTCAGTTTTCTGAGACAGTTCTGATGTCGCCACTTTCTGGTTTGAATTGCTATAGTAATTTCCATTTAATCATCGTGAAGAGAATTTAAAAATAACCGGCTTTGCATCTAAACCAATTAAACGCATTGGTTCATCGGCAATATCCTGATATAAAATATCCAGATTTGCTTGTCCTGTAATGATAGGACATCATCTTTTTTTTTTTAAATGAAATATTTTGCAGAATATTTTCCAACTTTCCTTTCCTGAGTTGCTTTTTATCTCGAGTGATCTTGTAAAACTGTAAAACTTCCGTGGATAACCTGCTTTCAGTCTGGATTAGCACAAGGAACACACCCCTCATCTGACACCAATCAAAAGAAACCAGAATACAGAGAGTGAGGGGATGACTAAAATTATGCAGATGAGCTGAAATCAGTAAGTGAACCCTGGTGTGAAATAAACGTTCATGGTGTTTAGTGCATGAAGCTCTACATCAGGAGAGGCTATCAGTTAAGTACGATAACCAGAAGATACATTGGATGAAATTATCCTGTTTTCATAGCACAGGTGCCGGGAAAAGAAGAAAATGACAGGAAACCAAGTCTGAATTATGATACTTGGTAGAATATATACTGAGGTGGGTGATGACTACTATAATGCAGAGGGATGGAAATGAGTGCTGAGGTGTAAAATCAGGAAGTGAGATACAAAACCAGGACTTATCAAAGCTGAAATAAATAAAAAAACATAGTTCTTTACTCTTTTGTAACATTTTTAAGTGACATACTACCATTAGTATAAAAAAAAAAATTCTAAGGCTGTGTCAACATTTTAGTGCCAGCAGGATGCAAAGCTAAGGGGTCCCCCTGCCATTGTGAGCAGAAAGAAAGACAAACAATGAAAGGCAAAGACGGAGAGAAAAACATGGGGAAGACTTTGAAGCGGTGCCCTTGAGCTCGGCTGAAAACAATATGATATTCCTCGTGGGCGACTGTGAAATAACGCCGACTTAATGGCAAATGACAGGGGAAGTAAGATTTCTCATCTCTACATGACAACCATGATGGTCAAAAATGCAATGCACCTTATCCATCCACTCCTCCCCCTCTCCAGTTATCTAATTCTCCATTTATCACCTCCATCCACATTTTTAAGCTTCTACCTGTTCCGCCCTCGTGCTCCCTCTCCTCTGTTATCTTTTTCATAAGCTCTCCAGCCTGTCTGCCTCCTCTGTTGTTTAACCTTACGCTGCTGAAAAGTCAACACAGACCATCAGTCATTTTTCGGGTCAATAATGCAGCGGCGGTTGTGCAAACGCTCCTCTGCCCCTGATGCAGTGGACACACGGCCTCACGCCTGCCCCGAAAGTCCAAATGAAATCGCTTTCACCTGCTGTAAACAGCTAACCATCCTGATTACCCCCACAATTAGACAGCCCTTTTAACGGATAATCAGCACAGTTGCCCTCGGGCTCTCTCTTACAAGCTGCGCCATGAGTTAGAACACAGTTTTTTAAAACGCTGCCTCTACCAAATGTACTGGTAACATCTGAAAGCACTGCGGTACAGATGGTAGAATCTCTTATTTATTTATTTTTTTAAACAGAAAAACAGGCCACGTACCCGCTCAGGCTGCACTGTGTTAAACCATTTGAAAAGAACTGGCAAGTGTTGTGAGGGCAATTTTACAGTTTTGGGGGGGAGGCTGTTTCCAAGAACAAGACGGCTGATTCGATGCATGACGAGCTACGAGGGCAAAACTCCGAGGGGCATTCTCCTCTTCTGTGGGAATCTTGGCAATGCTGAGGACACTCAATCCACACACTTCCCAGCCTCTTTTTTTAATCCCATGAAGACAGACGAACAAGTTATGCTTGTTCGTTAGCCCCTGAGCTTGTGTGCCTTTGGCCAGAGGAAATGGTACATATATATATCGGGAAGAGCCCGAAACTGGGTGTTTTGTCTGTCGTGGTGCAACAGTCTGACCTAGAAACATTTTCTTTGACAGTGAATCACTTAGAGGGGAAATTAACGTCACATCACAGCCAAGGTATTCCATGTCCTCCAAGTCTTGCTTGTTTGGGTGGGTGAGCAGTCACACTGCGTGTACGAGTCAGTGCTGAAACGTGGCCACAGTTTCACATGCAGTGGACTTTTTTGTAGCTCCTACGTTTAAGATCTTTGTTTGATCTTAGGTTCCTCTTCATTGGCTTGTAGGGCCCTATGGTATAACTAATGATCTAGCAGGCTAAATGGCATAAATACTTAATATGAATAACAAATAGAATGTTTCATAAAAGCTGATTTAGTTATGATTTTGTTCGATGTATTTAAAGTCTTTGAGTTGAGAATCATTTAGAGAGGTTTCAAAGGACTGGGGCCATGAATGTTGGAAATGACTAAAATGTTGGAAAACTTGTAATAAAACATTCACTACTTATATCTTTAGTTATAGAACAAACCAAGCTTGACTCTATAAAAGATATAAATTATTTTTATTACACTGCCAGGGCTTCTAAAGACATTTGAATGGCCAATAAAGTGTTGAAACTGATCAGGAAGAGGCATTTTGCCACTGCAGAGCGCTGGCATCAGTGGAGTGAAACCTCAACTGACTATTTGGGCCACTCTTTCAGGCAGCTGTCACCTCCCCGCCTGTGTTTTGCTCACTGACTCGTCTTTTACTTTTTACCTCATCGTTCTGCCATCTTTGGCAGTGCGAGATGCTTTAAAATGTTTTTTTTTTTAAAAGGCACTTCCCCCCTGCTGACAACTCTCCAAAACATCTAAGCGCTCCCTGGGAAAAAGAGCCGAGCAGCCAGCAGGCTGCACCACACTCCAAACTGACAGCAGGAAGAGACTGTTAAATGACGCAGAGATTTGTTTTTCCTCCACATTACAGTGCACACGAGCATCCTGCTTTATTTTTTTTAATAGGAAGCGAACCAAGACTCTATGATATCATCCTCTCCTTGACACACTTTGTACATGACGTTATCTGTGCATGCACCCCCAAGTGTGGTCTTAACCTGAGGTCATTTCTGCACCCTGAGGATTTCTGTTAAAGGCAAAGGTTGGGTTTGTAGGAGAGATTTTGTGTTTTTGGGGAAAGAGCTCAAGCGAGTGCTCAGGCAATCCATTTTTAATGCGTTTTGTAACCCAAACGTCCACTCACAACCCTCTATTCATATTCATTTTCCTTTGAGGAATATACACATTCTTATATCTATTTTGAGCCTTGTCTTGTGTCAAAACATCTTCTCGCCACATTAAAGTAAAGATGAGGAACCTGGTTGTTCACAAGTCTGTAAACCTTGTTATCGTGGACTTGGAAAGCAAAAAAAAAAACATGTTTCAAACATAACCTGTAGGGTTCGCCATGAAGGGGACCCACGCCAAAGCTCCAAACATATCAAATGTTTCAGTCAACGTCAGGATACTTTTTTTTTTCTCGACTTTTCTACAGAATTTTTTCCCCCCCGTTTCGGCATCTTTCAAATAAAATATTCAGGGTAACTGCAGTCAGGACTTGAGGGGTGTCTGGGGTTTGTACTAGCTGATGTGCAAAAGTGTGAATACCTCCAGGTTTAAGTTTATTGAGACAATAATTACAACTCACTGCGGTCTCATACGTGTTTAACTTTTCATCCTGCAAGCCTTCCGGGTCAGCTCACATTGTGTTTTGGTAATTCACTGTTTTGGTATTTTCCTTAAAAAGCTTTCCCAAAAAACGGGCTTGCACGCACATTGGACAGGCTTATGCATCACTGCGAGCCAGACTTTTGGAAGCCACATAAATTTATGGCTGAGCATCCACACGACGCAACAAGAAATCAAAGATAGTCAGAGAGAGGAAAGAGTAGGCTGGAGGGAAGAAGTGGGGTGGGGGTTGGGGGGTACGAGAAGACGCTACAAGTGTGTGCGTTTATATGTGTGACTGTGTAAGTGAATCAGAGGGCAGTTTGTCATGTTGCTGCTCCGCAGCCCTGATCCGAGCTGACAGGTGAAGCTAAGCGCAGCTAAACAGCACACATAACGGAGAGAACGAGAGAGATGGGGAGAAGAGGCAGTCGGGAGGCAGTGGAGATAAGAGGAGTCAAACAGACAAAAGTAAATAAATAAATAAAGGTTGGGGAGGGCGAGCGTGGAGGATGAGGAAGGAGGGATGGACACGGAGCGAGTGTGTGAAATAGAGGGATGGGAGTAGTCTGCGGAGCTAGAGAGATACATTAAAAGGAGAAACACGGGAGGAAAACAGCGAGGAGGCTTGATGGAGGGAGAGAGACAAAGGGAATCGGAGCAAAGTGGAAAGCCTGGGAAAGGCATGAGGTGAAGTGTGATTAACTGGTGAAAGAGACTGCTTAATTGGCATTTTATTCAAAGAAAATTTGAGCTATTTTTTTTCTGTGATATTGCTTAATTAATCTATATCTGGCTCTTTTTCTATTTTTCTTCTCTATTCTGTATGTGGGAGGCTATTCGTTTTAGCGGCATTTTAATGGGAAACATCTCATTCCAGAACATTATTTCGAATCAAAACATATAATTTCAACAACACTCAAGATTCAATTATTCATTTAAATTCGATTGGAAAAAGAGAAGAATTCAGCTGATGGATACATTTTAGAGGACGACAGATCTTGGAAAAAAGTTCATGCCTTATGTTGAAAATCAGAGGAAATGTTGAGTGTTTTGCTAATAAACTGGCAGGAAGGCGCCGAATGAAAAATATCCCACATCAGACGGTTCTAACAACGCCCCCAGCTGCCTAAATCCAATCAAACCTTTTATTGTTTTTGTTTCCTTTTCGGTATTGGCAATAGCGATATTTCAATACCAGACGAATTTAGGCATCGCACTGTAGAGCTGGAGTGACACCCCTCCAGCAGTACAGAAGAAAACAAAACAAGGATTTCCTTTTAGTTGAAACAGAGTGTGGGAGATGGATGCAGACACATTAGAATACCGATGTCAACCCCAGCACAGGACAGAGGAACACCTGGTAGCTGCGTAGCAACGCAAAGCCATCAGGTTTCCATCCATGTTGTTCCCATTGTGCTCATTAGGGTTTGTTTCCCAGTTGTGGATGCCTGCAAAGGTTTTGGACAGGTGTGAAAATATGTTATATGGCAAAAATACACATTTGTTGTCATCACAGTTGTCATCACTGTGTATTTGCGGTCCCTTCTTTTACGTGTTGGTTGCCAAATGCATGACTGCACAATCTGCTGTTGTTCCATTTCCTGTTTGATATCCTTTCCATTGAAGGACTTCTGTTCAGATTTTATTTCTGTCACGTTGCCTGTCATTGCATCACTTTAATTGTAAGCCTGTCAAAGTTTCTTACTTTACTTTATATTTCTTTATACCCTCCATTTACATTGAGGTGCCTCACGCACATATCCGACCCGGATTCACAAATGAGAATCTGCGCCCACCGTCATCCAACTTTCCACTCTCAACATAACTGTCATCAACTTAGTATCGAAATAAAATTACATATATTCACAGTTTGCATATGGATGACTTGAAAACGGTGGAACAGAGCATGTTTTCACCAATTAAAAAAACAACAACCACCGGCCTCTTTTGTGCAACCAGACTATACGAAACTTCTGTCAAAACTTTTCAAAGATTTTAGGAAATTTTGCTTCGTTAGGTTGGGCCTGCCAAAATCTGAGCCGCTCCTCCTCCTCCAGGCCAATGCTAATGTTTGCGCCGTGTTTAGAGAATCCCCCCCGAGCTACTACTGAATCATCACCTTCCCCGAGAAGACTGGAAGACATAAAGCCTCTGGCCACAGCCGTTTGGCTTCAAAGTGGATGCTACGCGAGTTAAGAAGAAGAAGTCGAGGTGGACAGGTTGATAGATTCCTAATGTGACCTAACCGGTAGATACGCACTCTTATCGTACAGACACTTACACCTGTACTCTTGTGTGTGTGTGTGTGTGTGACTCTATGTCCACCTTCATGACAAATGACCAGCCGGAATTGGCAGTGACAGTTGCTTATCCATTAGTATATTGCACCGCGTTGTCGGTGTCCTTGCAGAGTGCGCTGTGGGTGTTTGTGTGCAAACTCTGTGACAAACCATATATACGGCGCCAGGCTTTGACGTCTGTGTGAGGCAACTCGAGTTGCTGAGCTGTGAGCCGGATGCTGAGTGAAGGGAACATCTCCACATGTATGAAGACGGCAGGAGGGGGGGGTTCCCGCTCCTGCTGCTAGCGTTGCCGTCTGTCGGATTACCTGACGTTGCGTCAATGCAACGGGACTGCGTCAAAGCGAGGACGCCGCGTTTGTTTTGTTGTGTCGGGAACACGGCTTCAGTCATCAGACAAGGCTCGTTTAGGCGTCTTAGATTAACAGAGAGAAGATGTCCCATTCGGCTGTTATGAGCAACTTGGGAAGAAGTTGACATTTTGATTCCTCCTCTCCCAAGTATGGGCTCATTTCCGGGCTGAGTCTGGCAGTGTAGGGCACTTTGTCTCATCCCACTGCTCTATAGGGACGGCCAGCAAAGATTTAGAAACTTCTCTCCATGCCTCTCTCCTTTTTGGGCCGTGTCTAAAAAGCACAGCCGCGCCTTTTAATTGCAAATCGCTCGAGTCTGCTTGGCAGAACTCATCACATTGTGCTCTGCTTCATGGCTAATTCTGAAAACCCTGAAAGGATG